ATAGATAGATAGATAGCAATAGCACTTAGACTTATACGCCGCTTCATCATGCTTTATAGCCCTCTCTAAGTGGTTTGCAGAGTCAGCATATTGCTCTCAACAATCTGGGTCCTCATTTTACCAGCCTTGGAAGGATGGAAAGCTGAGTCAGCCTTGAGCCGGTGAAATTGAACTGTTGGCAGTCAGCAGAGTTAGTCTGCAATACTGCATTCTAACCACTGCACCACCATGGCAGATAAATAGATAGATAGATAGATAGATAGATAGATAGATAGATAGATAGATAGATAGATAGATAGATAGATAGATAGATAGATTTCCTCTTTCTTTTCATTAAAAGTTCACCTTTTCCACCAGGAAATATTTGTATTTCCACCAGGATACAAATTATTAGGATATTAACTATTCTATTATTAATAGGGTATTAACAGGATATCAATTATCCTATTAGAGAATCCTTAGCTCCTTCTGTACACAGAAGGTTTGCAAAATCAGGCATCATTTTCTTCTCTTTGTTTTCCCTCAAAGTATATAAATTGTGATTTTAATCTCTGCTGTTGTTAGAGAGGAGTGTTTAGATTAATTGGCCCATCATTTTTTCTTCTTCAAATGAAGACATTAGAGAAGGTTCATGTGGGAGGTTCTGTAAATCTGTATCAAAGAATTAACTTAACAACTGTCTTGTTTAGCAACCACAGAACTGTTGGGCTCAGCTGAGGTGGTTAAGTTGAGGTCTACCTCTCATGAAATATAAAAACCACAAATCAAGGCCTCGATGTGGAAGTTGTTAGTTCAGGACTGCGGTGTGGATCTGAGTCTCAGTCATTTGCAAAGCTTAGCAGCTGTTCGCCAGCCTAACCAAGGGTATAGAGTTGTCGGAAGGATAAAATGTTAATATTCAAAGTTACTGGCAGGATTGTCCCTGCCCTTGTTCCCTTGAGGCTACAGCCAAACTAGCTCACGATCCAGCTGGAGAGGAAAAACCGAGAATGTGGTTCCTTGAAAAATTCTCCAGCAGGGGATTTTTTGACATTTGCTGCTTGTCAAGAAGGCGAAGAGAAAGTTGTAGCTTTGCAAGTCCCTCAGGAGGTGCCATATACCAAATATCTCCATTATTTTGTCTAGTTTAGTACTGTCTACACCCGTATGGGTTTTTTTTTTTGTTATATATGTTATTGAATTTTTTTTAAAAAAAAAAACATAAATCACTTAATAATTGGTGAACAGTGTGTTGTCTGGGTTACATTTGTAAAACAATCATTAACAATTAATTTCTATAATCCATATTCTACACAATAATTTCAGTTGATGTCCTCTTTCCCCCAAATATCCTCTTTTGCAGACATTGAATTAATACAATTCTTATTATTTTGATAAATAACAGTTAAACATATATTTTTCCCAATATTCCTAAAAATAATAATCATATCAGTATAATATTTCTTTTCTAGTCAGTCATTCTGGTTGCCTTATATTGCTCCTGTTACAATCTTTATTTTACTTTATTTCTCCCGCCAAATTCTAGATATTCTTACTGGTGAAGATTTTCTCAAAGATTAATTACATTTACATTTCCAAATTTAACTCTTATTTTTTCCTGTATAAGCCATCTCACACTTTTACATTTCTTAAGAAATAGATAAAAATAGATGAAGAGCAAAAGAAAGGAGAGCAAGAGTAAAGAAAACGTAAGAAATAACATACTACTTAAAATAATATACATCCCTCCTAGGCTAATATATATATTTATTTCCTCAATTTCTTATTCTTTTTAACCATAATTAAGAATATATTTAATCTTTAAACACCCGTATGTTTTAAAAGCAGAATTTCCTGCCTTCACGACTTAACTGCAAATCCCAGAGATTAAACTTTCCCTATGCTGGACACGGGACGGCCCTAGAAAGTTGGTGGACCTGGTTCCATCTAATCCAGGGGTAGTCAACCTTGGCTCTTTTATGACTCGTGGACTTCAACTCCCAGAATTGTGCTGGCTCAGGAATTCTGGGAGTTGAAGTTCACGAGTCATAAAAGAGCCAAGGTTGACTACCCTTGATCTAGTCCCGTTTCTCATGCTGAAGAGCAGAAACTTCTTTTGGACTCAGTTGCAAACAGAGAGAAACCCATGGAATATTCTTATTTTTCCTCTATTCTTTTGTCCTGTGCACATTTCCACAAATTGGGTCCCTGAGGACCCGTCCATATTTAATGCTCTAAAGCCTCTAGCTGTATCAGAAGTTGTGGGGCAGTGTTGGTTTTGTTTGTGCCGACCGCAACAGTGTGTGCTGCCTCAGCAAACTCTGTAATTTGAAGCTTTGCTGGACAGAATTGGTATTCAGCCAAGAAATTTGCCCTAGCCGCAAGAAGGGGAAACCCTGGCTTTGCAAGTCATTTGCATATATTTAACAAACACAAGGAATCACTGTTTTTCTTTAAGTTTTCCAATGGTATGATGAAAATCCACCCTGTATGCCTTAATCTTGAATCATCCAGTAATGCCCCTCTATTAAATTATGCTGAGGTTGTCTATGTGTCCTCAGTAGAATACAGGGCCCTTTTTTATTATTTGGAAGGTCTTGAAAGTCCAGGCAGAGTAGAGTGTTCATTTAATGATCCTCCTGTGTCTCAGCAGGTGGGACCATCTGAATGACCATATCTGAACTTAGAAACTAATCAAGATCAGGCTTGGAAGGAAAAATCAGCAGGAAATCACAGGGCTGAACAGTTGGAATGGAAGGAAGTTGAAATAACAATCTTGAAGAAGGCCAAGTCTGACCAGCTAGGTGGTCTTGCCAAGAAACTGCATGTTTTTATGTAATCACTAGATGTTGAGCTCTTTATTATATTGTGGGGTACTTAGTGCTCTCTAAGATTGGTTGTTTTCTTGCAGACATTTCATTACCCAACTAGATAACAGTGGAAATATTCTCCACTATTGGAGACACTGTATTGTTTGCCAGTGTTGGTCCTTCCCCTGGACCAGCGGTTCTCAACCTGTGGGTCGCGACCCCATTTGGGGTCGAACGACCATTTCATGGGGGTCGCCAAACAACGCAGTCTGCCATTTCCCCCCCCTTTTCCTTAGCTGTGCTACTCCCTTTTATTCTATTGGCTTTTGAAAGCCAATAGAAGAGACTCTCTTGAATAGAGTCTAATTCCATTGGCTTTCAAAAGCCAATAGGAATTGTCCAGGCCGGCGCAGGGGATGGCACCACGCATGTGTGGCGCTCCCGGGCAGGGAAAGTCCTCGACTTACGACTGGTTGGGTAGTCCTTGACTTATGACTGGTTGGGTAGTCCTCGACTTACGACCGGTTGGGGATCGCGGCATTAAAAAGGTTGAGAACCACTGCCCTGGACTAACAATCACCCTCAACCCTCCCCCCTCCCCATCTGACCTAGTAAATTGGCACCAGAGAATTTAGTGGCATCAATTTCAAATTTGCATGCAAAGGAAATGCCACTTTCCCCCGCTGTGGCTTCCTTCTGAAGTATTTGGATTGCAATGTGGGCTCCTAGGTGCTCTCTGAGCTTGGCTGTTTTCTTGCAGATGTTTCATTAGCAAAGTAGGTAATGTCAGTGCTTGGGTTGCAATGTTTAATGAGCCCTTGTGGTGCGGTGGTTAAAATACAGTATTGTAGGCAAATTCTGCCCGCAGCCTGGAGTTTGATCCTGACCAGCTCAAGGTTGACTCAGCCTTCCATCCTTCCGAGGTGGGTAAAATGAGGACCCAGATTGTTGAGGGCAATATGCAAATAATACTTATATTGTAAACTACCCAAAGAGTGCTTTAAAGGACTATGGAGTGCTAGCTAAGCTTAAATGCTATTGCTATGACCTAGATTCACCCTTTTGGAAGACGTTCCAGAGAGGTTTCCATATGCTTTCTAATTCTATCCTTCCTAACTCTACAATTCTATCCTGTAGATCTTCCCCAATCTGGTGCCCTGTCTCTTTCTTTGCCCCACTCCTTTCATCCACCATGACCATTTCCCTTCCACACCATGATGTCTGGAACAGAAGTCCCAGAAAGGTGAATAAGTGGAGAATGGGATATTGGGTTCATCAATGGGTAGGGGAGAAAAAAAGCCCATAATAGGATTTCAATAATAGTTTTTCTTTTCCTGAATTCAGAACTCTCTGAAGCCCCTTGCTAAATCCACCAACTTGACATTTTGGGAACTGAAATGGCCAATTCCCCAGCTCCACCATCCTACCTCCAAATGCAGAAGAACTCAATCTGGTGACCCAAAGTTCTCCTGCTGGCTGGAGAGATGGGTGGGAATGGTGGCACCAGGAGACAAGTCTCAGCAACCTTCCCTGTACAACCTTCCCTGTACATCCTTTGAGCAGGGACTCAGAAGCTTGCACCCTTCCTTCCTTCCTTCCTTCCTTCCTTCCTTCCTTCCCTCCTTCCTTCCTTCCCTCCTTCCTTCCTTCCCTCTTTTCCTCTTTCTTTCTTTCTTTCTTTCTTTCTCTTCTTCCTTCCTTCCTTCCTTCTTTCCTTCCTTCCCTCCCTCCTTTCCTCTTTCTTTCTTTCTTTCTTTCTTTCTTTCTTTCTTTCTTTCTTTCTTTCTTTTTCTTTCTTTCTTTCTCTCTTTTCTTCCTTCCTTCCTTCCCTCCCTCCTTTCCTTTCTTTCTTTCTTTCTTTCTTTCTTTCTTTCTTTCTTTCTTTCTTTCTTTCTTTCTCTTCTTCCTTCCTTCCTTTCCTCCCTTCCTCCTCTTTCTTTCTTTCTTTCTTTCTTTCTTTCTTTCTTTCTTTCTTTCTTTCTTTCTTCCTTCCTTCCTTCCTTCCTTCCTTCCTTCCTTCCTTCCTTCCTTCCTTCCTTCCTTCCTTCCTTTCCTTTCCCACTGTTTGCCCCAACCCCGCTTCCAAGACGCCGGAGTCCTGAAAGAGGAGCTTGCCAAGCGTCGCAGCTCCAGGTCCCCGGGCGGGGGGGGTCACTCTCGGGGGGTGGGTGGAGGTGTCACAGGGAGGGAGCCGCGCGTAGCGGGTAGCTGGCTGGGTGGCTTCCTTGCTCCCCTTCCCTCGGAGGAGGCAGCAGCCGTCCGCCGCTGTCTCCCGCGGGGCTCCAACCTCCCGTCCGAGTCCCCCAAGCGCGGCGCCGGGAGGGTTAACGCGCGCGGGAGGGAGGGCAGGAGCGCGCACCGCCGCCGCCGCCGCCTCCTCCTCCTCCTCTCCCGCCGCTCCGCCGGGTCCTTCGCGCGGGGCGCTGCGTGTGCGGAGCCTCCCCGCTCGCCGCGGCTGCCCCGGGGAGCCCTCGCCCTGGTCAGCGATGGAGACGCTGCCATGACAACCCGTCGGTGGGCGCGCGCAGGAGGGACCGCGGAGCGGAGGCGCCCGGCGAGCGGGGCGAGAGGCGCGGGGATGCCAGAAGTAGCAGCGGCATCGGCGGCATCGGCGGCAGCCTCCCGCCCGCCTCTCCCGCCCGCCCGCCTTCTGCCTTGAGCCGCCGGGGGGCGGCGGCGGCGGCGGCGGCGGCAGCCTTCCCAGCCGAGCCGGAGAAGCCCCGACGGCTGAAGACTGAGACGACCGAGAGCGGCGTCGGGGCTCCGGGGCTCCTTCGGCCGCTCGGCTTGGTCTGGCGAGCGAGCGAGCGCAAAGGGAGCAAGAGCCGCAACCGGACGCCTCCGTCTCCTTTGGCTCCGACGGGCGCTCCGCTGCCCTAAGCGCCCCGCGGCGGGGACTCTGCGCCTCGCCTCGCCCGCCTCTGCCTGCCTGCCTCCTCGGCGGCGGCGCAGAAAGTTTGGCGGCCGGAGCCTTGCAGCCACTTAGCCCGGCTTCGGAACCTGCACCGAGAAGGAGAGCCCGGAGCTTCCCGCTGCCCTGGGTCGGCCGGCCTCGCCATCCGCGCCTCTCCGGGAGCCCCTCGAGCCGCTGCTGGGCGCCCCGCGTCTCCGGAGCTGGATTTCTCCCGGGCGCCCCGCTGACCGTCCATCCGCAGAAGCGCCTCGGGCTCCGCTTGCTCCCCCCTCGCTGTCACCGCTGCACCCTCTCACTCAGCCTCGCCCCCCCCCCGCTCCCGGCGCACTCTATCTTAGCCTGGAGGGACGTCTCCGCATCCCAGGATGAGGGTCGTGGGGGGCTTGGTCCTGCCCTGGCGGTGCCTGGTGGTCGTGTGTCTCAGGCTGCTCTTCCTTGTGCCCGCAGGAGTGCCGGTGCGCAGCGGAGAAGCCACCTTCCCCAAGGCTATGGACAACGTGACGGTCAAGCAAGGAGAGAGCGCCACCCTCAGGTAGGAGCAAATCGCTTTGGGCTACGCTTGCTGACTGCCGGGGGGGGGGGTGTCTCTTGCTTTTTGGGGTGGGGGTCGTTTCCCCCTCCGGGGGGGCTCCTGCTCGTGGCTTGCACTGCCCACCCAGGGAGTTGTGATGTGGTACTCAGCACGGAGTTGCTTGCTTGTTTGTCTGGTTGGAGAGGCAAATTCTGGGGAGGATGCAAAGACATGGCCTCGGGGTACAGGTGGGGGCGCTGAAAGAGCATTTTCAAGGCTGGCGTGGTCCATTTAAGGTGCTTTTGATGCTTGCAAAGGAATATGATTGTGGTGGCCATGGTGGAACTCTTGACAAGAGCACTGTGAGAGGGAAGAGAAGGGTGAGGCCTTTCCTTCTGCATTTTAAAAAAGATGGGTGCCAGGCAGTTGCATAGCTGAGTTTGTGTCAGCTTGCAGGATGGACACCTTTAAAAGAAGTTCTGGAGATGGCTTGGGTGCCAACTTGGGCATGGATGGTGTCTTGGGGTTGTATTTGTGAGAAAATAAGGGGCAGGTCTGCATGGCATATGCTATTCCTCTCCCCTCTCCCTGTTCTCCAATTCGTGCCTCTGGTTCTAACTGGTTTCTGGGACTTTTGATGTCTCTCCCAAGATTGCATAGATCGCTTTATATTTTCTGGGCCGATCTGTTAATATCACACTTTGATTCCTGGGGCAGCTTGGGTGAATTCTGATAGGGTTATTCTCTCTCTCTCTCTCTCTCTCTCTCTCTCTCTCTCTCTCTCTCTCTCTCTCTCTCTCTCTCCCTCCCTCCCTCTCTCCTCTCCTCTCTTCTCCTCTTCTCTCTCTCTCTCTCTCACACACACACACACACACACACACACACGCGCGCGCACACACACACACACACACACAGAGAGAGAGAGGGAGGGAGAAAGTGCTTTACTTTGCACTCCTTGGCTGAGAAAGAGATGTAAACTGGCTCATAAACAGATGCCTTACTTTTGGTGCGTGTGTGGTTGGGTGGTTGGGATCAGACATGCAGCTGGATTTCTCTTTGCCTTCCTTGAATGAATTTACAGGTATGGGATTTGTGCAAAGGAAAAGATGGGGAGAGTCTTGCTTTGAGAAGATTCCCCCCAAAGGCATCCGCAAGCTTGCAAGAAGCAATGGCTGGACTCATTATCTAGATGAGCAAAGGGATGGATAGTCTAGCCCTTGTACCAGAATGAAAACAGGATGAGTTTGGGAGCATCTGAAAGAAGAATGAATTCAGTGAGTTGAAGTTCAGTTCCTCAGTTAGAGAGAATCTTCTGAATTGGGTGTCTACACATAGTTGAGAAGTGGTCAGAAATAGAACCACATGGCTTGCCGAGTGCATTGTATGGCCACCAGTGGAAATGGTCAAGTGGTCATCTCAGCTGTAGGATTTTAACAGCAGGTTAAAACAGGGTTGGTTAGTGAGTAGAAATGTAGAAAATCCCAGCCAACCCCAGCAGAAATCCCAGCCAACCCAAGCCAATCTCAGCAGAAATCCCAGACAATCCCAGCAGAAATTCCAGCCAACCCCAGCAGAAATCCCAGAAAATCCCATCAGAAATCCCAGCCAACCCAGAAAATCCCAGCCAATCCCATCAGAAATTCCATTCAATCTCAGCAGAAACCCCAGAGAATCCCAGCAGAAATCCCAGACAATCCCAGACAATCCCAGCAGAAATCCCAGACAATCCCAGCAGAAATCCCAGACAATCCTAGCAGAAATTCCAGCCAATCCAGAAAATCCCAGCCAATCCCAGCAGAAATCCCAGACAATCCCAGACAATCCCAGCAGAAATCCCAGACAATCCCAGCAGAAATTCTAGCCAACCCCAGCAGAAATTCCAGCAGAAATCCCAGACAATCCCAGAAAATCCCAGCCAATCCCATCAGAAATTCCAGTCAATCTCAGCAGAAATCCCAGACAATCCCAGAACTGGACCAACCAGAATGGTTTATAATTGGCTTTGGTTCAATCTATAAAAGCAGTAGTGTTATTGGTTTCTACTGGTGAGTCTTGCTTTTAACAGTTTATTCCATGCAACCTAAATTCCATGCCCATACATCATAGAGAAAAAAAAAGGTATTTAAACAACAGTGTTTTCCAAAGTCTTCATGAAACTGTGCTTCGGTGTTGGGTGTTTGTAATAATCTAGGTCTCTAATCTGTGGCTATCGTTATTTCATTAATATGTGTCAGTGAGCGGTGTGAGGGAGGCACAATGCATTTGCATTATGTAACAGTGATCAGAAGCGCTGAAGCCTGGAGAGATGGTTTCATTTCTTCAAGAATTTACTGTAAGGATTTCACATTACCCTGTGTATGTTTTAGAGTAGCCTCTCTCACTAAAAAATCAGTCCAGGCTTTGTGTCAGTTCGAGCCTGACATGCCCATCAGACATCTCACCGTGCAGGTGAGAACTCACTCTGAGTTCTTTTGTGTTATAAAGATAAGGTTTTTGAAAGATCTCTTTGGACAAGCCCTTCCACTTTTTCACCCTCCCAATGATAGCTCTGCACAGTGGATGGCACCCCAAATCTCCTCATGAGCTTTCATGGGTGAGGGCAAATATAAACAGCTTTCTGTACTCTACTGATGATTTACCAAAGGAAAGAGACCACTCAGTTGCAACCAGTAAACTCAAGTCACACACACCACACACACACACACACACACACACACAAAAAAAAATCATAAGTAAGGTCCACTGGACTCAGAGGGATTGATTCAGAGGAATTTATTTCTGCATAGAATAGACCTAGTTTAGGAGCATTTCCATGCCTGACGTAAATGGATTTAACGCTACTCGTTGCATCTCTTCAACTGTAGCTTTTTTCTGAATAAGGTGAGGGATCACCAGGAGGATTCTCAGCCCATCCATTAGGGAAGATTCTTGGCATTGGATCCTTGAGACGCAAGTGAGGCCAGCTTTGTTGTAGCACCTTGCTCTCTCATCAGCAATGACCAAAAATTCCAGAACAAGTCTTGTCATCTGTTGACCTTGTTCTTCATTATGTTTTATTTATGGACCAATTTCCTGGTGTCCATCAAGCCAAGATTTCCAAGGAAACATTGTAACCCTACAACCAAACATGGCTGTGGTAGCAAGACACGCTCCAGCAGATGAATTAGTTTTAGCATCTCTGTTTTCCCACCCATGAAATAGACCTCCCTTGAGGAGCTACAGAGAGAGTCCAGGATAATATGAAATTACTTTGCTACAATAAATCCACCTTTCCCCAAGTGCCAGTGTATTGTTTCCATTGTCCATTTGTGTTTATTTTTTTGTGTTGGATTTTTAAGAGATGTGTACATTAAGATTTCGCTAAAGAAGGGGTGTCAAACTCACAATGTCACATGACATGTCATGATGTATCACAACTTTTTTTCCATTGCCGGCAATCTGGTGGGTGCAGTTTTGCCATGACACATCTGGCCCGCGGGCTGGCAGTTTGACACACCTGCGCTAAAGGGTGGCATGATGGCAAGATGTTTAGGAAACCCTGATTTAATCTTGGTTTGCTCTTTTTTTAAAAAAAAACCTCAGATGTTTTGTGAATCTGTTATTTTTCAGCTCAATGTATTGTCTAACCCCCTCACCCCACCCCCAAGGGGGTTAATTCTGCACCCAGGTTGAATGCTTTGAAGGAACAAAGTGTTTGAACCTGTGGAAGAGGACACACATTTTGGAGATGGCCATTGGAGGTTCTTAAATGGATGCACATTTTGGAACATAGAGGGAGCAGGCTGTGCCCTAGAAAGGGCCAACTGCTGTGGGAGGCTTCATTCAGTTTCTCAATGGCCCGTTTGTTGGTCCACCCAGCTGCTAGCTCATCATTTATCTCCCCCTTTTTTATTTCTTGGACAGAGAGACCCATTGGGGTAGGCAGACAAATCACACACCACTATTCATGGGGGAACCACCTTCTCCTTGGCCTCTTCCAACAGTCTGGTACTAACTATTCCTTTCTTACCATACCAATAGGAAGATGATTAAGTTGTGAATCCAGGGCAGATGGAGAAAAAAAAAAATGAGAGAAAGAGAGAGATGGGTAGTCCAAACATGGCAGTTGTGTGTGAAGTTGAGAACTGAACTGCAGTCCATTCTCTCTCTAAAATAACTGTTTTGTTCATTGATTTTTCAGTTGTGTAGAATGCAGCTATTAACAAGCTGGCCATTTAAGCTGGAGACAGATGATATGGGTTTGGCTGTCATTATCTCTGTGTGTCTGTGTGTGTGTGAGAGAGAGAGAGAGAGAAAGAGAGAGAGAAAGAGATAGACAGAGAGAGAGAGAGAGAGAAAGAGACACACACACACAGAGAGAGAGAGAGAGAGAGAGAGAGAAAGAGAAAAAAAAAGAGAACAGAAATGCGGGCTAAAGGTGGTTTGGTGGAGACACCATGATTTCTAGCTTACACACAAATGATATCTGTTATTTCTGCCAAACACCTTTTAGCCTTGCCTCAAAATCACGCGGAGAACCTGTTGAGAGATACAAGAAAAGCTATTTGCATAAAGCTCTGGAAGGAAACCCTCAATATATTGAAAAGAGGAATTGTCTGCTTGCTTTATTCAGTAAGGCTGCGCAAATCTTCAGAAGAGGTGCTTTGAAATGTAGAGCAGCCCCATGTACAAACTCTCGCTTTCTGAGTAGTTTTGAGTACTTTTGAATAGTTACAGCAATTGGGGCTTATTTTTTTTTTTTTTTCATGTTCATGTTGCTGCTCTGGAAGTGTGTGGTGGTGGGAAATTCCAGCTGTCTCCCCCTGTATTCAACATACAGCCATTTCGTTTCTTTTAGGAAAAAAAAAATGTCTATTATCAGGATTACTGTTAGAATAGCTCAGCACTTTGCAAAGTGCCTGGGTTTAAATAGATGTCAAACCGTGGTTTATTGAATAAATTGTGACTGGCGGGCTTCGGGCAATTCACTAAATCCTAAAATGGTGACTTAGAAATAGTGGCTTGTAAATGGCTGAGGCAAC